CCAAAGCAAAGTTACGAAAAAATGCCAAACCAGCACTATCCATCAAATCTTTTTCTATTAGATTAGCACAGTCTATAGAAGGTTGTGAATACTTGGAGTTGACCCAATGGTATTTTCTAATATTTTAAGACCTTTAAAGGTGTCATTCGATCTGTCTCGCTGTTACTAGATGGACCCTTTGGTGCCATCTTTGATGTGTGATGTCGTCAAGGGGAGCAAAGGCTTTTATGGTCACGAAGAGTTCGAGGGAAAGCATAATGATCGCCTCACTATATTAGGTGCATTCACCCTATTTTATTTAAGGTAATGAAGGTAGTTGAATTTTCCCACAATCATATGAATAGACATTACGTTTCCATTGAATTTCACATGGTCCTATCTCCTAAAAAGGTATTCTCACTCCGGTTTAAGTGGACTGCAGCTTCGACCTCACCTGAACAGGTCTCATCAGCACCCCTAGCGGGACTCGAATCAGGACAGTTCAGCATATAATCTTGACACATTAACAATTCGGCCACATTGCCGCGAGTGCCATTGGGTCGCGGGACAGATGTAAATTTCCAGGTAAGCCTGGAATTTTCCCATAGCAAATTCTGTTGTGGGATTTTCGGTGAATCAAAATTAGATTCGCTTTTGAACTCACCCAAATCACTTATTTACTGCTTGTAAGCATAATTTTGAGAGATCCAGTGAATTAAATATATGAAATGTGCAGATGAAAGACACACTTCATATAACTGATTTATTGGTAGTCTCGAAAGCCTACCTACAAACGAAAACTAAGTAATGTAGTCGATTTCTGTAGCAAATATAATTTTCCTTCATCAGCAATCCCATCCTAGAATGAGATATGGGAAACTGTCTAGGCTTGCTCGAAATTTAAATCTGCCCCGCGACCCAATGGCACTCGTGGCAATTTGGCCGAATTGGTAATGTCCAGCTTATATGCTGAACTGTCCTGGTTCGAGTCTCGCTGGGTTTGATGGTGAGACGTGTTCAAGCTGAGATGATAGTACCATTTTTGGAGGCAAGACTTTGTGAATTCAGTAGAAACGTAAAATTTATTTTTATCGTTTATACCGGTAGTTTCGAGGACCTAATTACGAAAGAAAAATGATGTGACAGAGTGATTACTTTGAGCAGCTTTTCGCGAAGCCGTTGATCACTTACCAAAGTGATCAGGTATCATCTTCCCCCATTTTGTAGCGAGGCGAATTGGTGACTTGTATTGTTCGGGGATTTGACGCCTATATCAGTTCGGCGCTTCTCGAGGCACATGCTCGCAGTCGCATCTTCTTTCTTCTTCCTCTTGCCAGATCCCTCCACCGACTACTACCTGACACAGAGCCAAGGTCTGACGAACGATGTTGCCTTGGCCGATCACGTGATCACCACGACTGGTCAGCTGCTTCTGCTTGACAACTCGCAGACGAGCACTAGCAACACCAGAACGAGCCCCGGAGCAAATGCTGTCGGGCTACCATCGCAGATGGTCGGCTCGATGAATGAGACACTCTTCTCTGACGCCCACAGGATGACGAGTGGCGAGATTGCCGACGTCGGGATTCCTGGTACCTCGGCCTGCCTGTCTCTCGTCAATCAGCCGCTTGTCTTGATCGACGAGACCGAGAAGACGTCAGGACTGGCCTCGACCCAATCGCATCCACTTCATCCACAGCACCAGCAATCTGTGTTGCCTGGGCAACCGAATCTGGGCCTCCAGACGACGACGACGTCGACGACAACCGCAACGACGACGACGATGGTAAGGCTGCGGGTTCGGGAACACGAGAACCCATATTCAACAGACTCTGGCGTCTACATGACCCGACTTGCTGGAGCCGGTGGTATTGGGTCTTCTCTCACTCCAGGACCGTACACGGCGGCTCTGACATCGGCGGCGACGGCTTTCAGTCTTCCGTTTCCGTCACGTCGGACAGGCGAGGCTGTGGCCTGCGCCGACGTGGACGAGTTGCCTGGCAAAGTTGAGAGAGCGACGAAGCCAGAGAATGACGGCTTTGCTGGTTCCGGTTTTGCCGGCGTCAACGCAGAAACGAGACTGTTCGAGAAACAGGATCTGTTCGCCCATGAAATGACCAGCACAACACTGGCCTCGGCGGCCGGAGAGCGCAGTCTGGCATACGCAGTGCAGGGTGTGTCGGCAGGTGAAGGGGAGCCGAGACTGTACGGTCGACTGAAAGAGGGTCACGGCAAGTCAGCCGTCAACGAATGGCTGATCTATGGCAAGGTGATTGTGGACGATAAGGGCCTGCAGAACATGAGCATTCGCGAGCTGAATACTCTACTTAAAGTAAGCATCAGCATTCTTGTTGGCCTCCGCAACAGAAACAGTTTGACATCTGTTTTGATTGAAGAACATCGGTTACAGTCGATTCGGCCTTTCTTGCCCCTCATTTGAGGCCGACCGTACCAATGTTCAATGAAGATATTTGTAGGTCGATCTCATCAAAAGATTACGTCAACTTATGTGGTTGCTGAGCCGTTGTTGCTTGAATACCACGTTCACTTCAAGGGGTCTCCTTCGTCCGTCATAGAACAGACATAGTCAGTTGTATAATTCGTACTACATTTCAGATATAATTATAACTAAAAATGAAAATTCATGTATATATATATAAATGGGTAAATAATCTATATCCATCTATATCTAGGTATTTTTGTTGTTAAGTCTATACAACATTTATGATAGAGCCGGGGAGACTTCTTAGCTTGGTGTCAACTTGTCAGATGATGAATGAAAGTTCAGTCTGTTTTGACATGAAATGAAGGGGGAAATTTGCTGGACCGTGTCAACCGAAATGTCATAATAACGAAAATGGCAACAGAACAACCGGACCAGCCAATAATTCACTTCATCATGCACTGTGATACGAAATGAAAGCCTCTAGAACAATGTTATCCCAAGCGCAAGAGATTAATCGAAACCCAGCTACTGTGCGTTACTGGAGAAAAGTATAAGTAGTGTGTAATATATGGCAATTGATAACTAGTACTTAATTGCAATATTTATCTAAGGCTGCTTCGTCAAGAAGAAGTATCCGCATACTATCTCGTCTTATATGTTGTAATGCCTGCAGGATTTAAGGCTTATTAACAGAACAGAAATTCTCACTGTAGCTCAGTATTAAAATAGAAAATAAAAATATAAGTAGCCTAGTAAGCCATACCAGATTGATTACTGGAGAAGAGAGATATATTTTGAATAAAAATTACAGTCCCCCTAGGTTGCATATGGTGAATAAGGTCTGAAAGCGAAATGTTCTCATAATCCGATGATGTTGCCGCGGGATTTCACTTAGCCTTCCATCCCCAAAGTTATTCTCACCCAAGCAGGAGTGTGATACAGTTTCAACCTCACCTGAACTCGTCTCACCATTAACTCTAATTGGATTTAAACCGGGGTTGTGCGGCATATAATTGCGATTTGTTGCCAAGTTGAAACATTTTAACGGATACCAATGCATCACAGAGGAAACGTGAATTTCAAGGCAATCCAGGCCTTTTTCATGTCACATTTTCTAGTGGGATTGTAGATTAAGCAAACTTGCATTTGCTATCACAATCGATAGCATTACTTATATTCATATTGAGTAGTTTTCTAAAATGCCAGTAGATCTTTAAATGAAGCTTGTAAGGTTTAGAGAAATGTAGTGGAAATTTGAGACCCGCTCATCTGATTGGAGTAAAATATACAAGATTTACTAATCCAGGTTCTTTCGTATATGAGCAGCGTATTTTTATTAA